ATCTATACCCCTTAACGTAATCTCTTCTGCCTTTATTTATTTGCTAACTGTGACTGTGGTCACTGTCTGAACATTTTCCCCACCCCATGTCAACAGATAACATTATGCCATAGGTTTGGTCATAATAGTAAAGGGAGAACTTCCTAATTTCGGTGACAAGTACCTTGTATCGTCTGTTTACGTTTTGCAGTCGGACAGCTGTCTATTTTTTTATTTCTTTTTTTTTCCAGCGAGTTGTGGTGACCCTGCTGCAAAAACAGGTGTACATACTTGTCACCGAAATTACCTTCATTTGCTGAATAGTTCCTAAATGCCGCTCTCGCTGAAAAAAAAAATACCGTCACTGAGTGCCAGTGCATAGACCTAATTATAATTATTTTCTGTACTGAATGTAGCCCATACTTTTGTCGCTGTTAGATCACATGGGGGAGAGAAGCTGTGTCTTCAATTGCCACTTGATTATTAGCTACTATAATTGGAAAACGTGTTAATAAAGGAAAATGATTGAGAACTAGCTAGGACTAATTGTTGTCATAAACGTATGTATCTTTGCCCCTGAATTTTCAGTTCTGGCGCCAGCCCTGGCAAAAGGTGTATTTCTGAGAAAGAACATCCTTGCCGTGTTCTATGATCATCTGGCATTTTCTCTCCGCCAGAACTTCCTCAGGAGAATGGCATGCGCAGATGGTTCGTCTCTTGGTTTGTAACAGGCTGTGCGATTTAATGAGTTTGGTTCTGGTGAAAATGTAACGACTTTACAGTCGGAGTAAAGTGAAATCCAACATTTGCTTCTAAACACAATGAACATGTTACAAAATAGATGCTGATAACGTGAAAACACTGCAGACTAAACTGTGCTGAATTGCGGCATCAGGCCGTTAAACAGTTTTTCCACCAGTTTTATTTTCCAGATTTTTTAGGTGGGGTTAAAACAGGGCCTGATGACACACTGAGGCCCTCCTTAGCATACCCCGCCCCGAGAAGTATATAAAATCATGAGCGCATGACATCAGTAATCATGATGACTGACCGCACCCGTGTGTTTAGCTACCAAGTTGAGCCACCAGTGTTCAGATTGCTGGGTAGCAAATCAGCTGCTCTGCCTGATATGTCCCAAAACTGTACCTCTGAATGCGAGAATTTAAAAAAATCTCTGCCATCTTATTTAAACGTCCAAAAAATGAAGAACAGGTGGATTACTTTCGTAAACAGCCAAGTTGATGGAGAGCTGAGGATCATCTCCAATACTCCTCTCTGTGGAAAACATTTTACACCAGGAACTTTCACTGACTTCCATCCGATCTAAGATTTACAGGTAGTCCGCCAATATGGGTAAATGCAGCCGACCCGATTATCTCCCCACCCGGGATTTATTCTCTCTTTACGTTGTCATACTCTCGTCGGCAGCAACATTAGCCATGGTGCTCATCATTGAGTTTACCGGTATGTCACACCATGAGCATAATTTTAATTAGGCCTATTGTAGTTAGCTAGTTAGCTAGCTAGCTGGGTAGTCCAAAGTAAATGCAATAAATTGCGCAGGATGTGCCGCTCCTCTACACGATTTTATCTGCATTGACGTAGCCGCATTGATAGCCACGGCCCGTTGCTGCGGCACATTTACTTATTGGCAGTGGCTATTCTTACGGCAGCCGTAAAGATACTCTGTTAGGCTATTCTTACGTCCTTCCATTTGCACATGCGCAGAGCACTGAATTCTGGACTTAGATTTTGATTAAGCTGCCAGCGAATTTTTTTCTTCTACCCGTTATATCCATTAGGCCCGATTTGGCGCCTCTGATTGGTTGCTTGCTAGGCTTTCTGGCTAGCTAGCCAGCTACCTAGCTAATGTTAGTTCGCTTGCTTAGCTACCAAGTTCGCTAACCTAGCTAGGCAACAGTTTGGTGCACGGATGTCAATTGAAAATAAATGAATAAAAATTATCCATTATTTCGCTATCTCAATTAGCTAGAGCTGAACCACGATCATTTATGTTACACCAAATATAAGTGCTCGCTAGCTAGCTCGCTAATGTTAGTTCGCTTGCTTAGCTAGCTAGTTCGCTGCCTAGCTAGCTGACAGTTATATTAAATATAACGTAAATACTCGCGGTTCAACTCTAGCTAAGTGAGATGGCGAAATAATGGATAATTTTAATTCATTTATTTTCGATTGAATTCTGTGCACCAAATTGTTGGATAGCTGGGCTAGTGAACTAGCAAGGTAAGCAAGCGAATTAAGGCTTATATTTTATATTATATAAGGTTATATTTTTGTCCTGAATTCGGTGCTTTGCGCATGTGCAAACGGAAGGACATAAGAATATCCAAACGGAGTATCTTTACGGCTCCCGTAAGAATAGCCACTGCCTTAACAGAGAGCCTAAAAAATCTCTAAAACGCGAGCTGGCCAGGTAACTTACTGTAAATGACTGAAGCTATAATGGGACAGGTAGCTTAAACGCTCTCGATTAAGGATATTAAGCCACATTCTTTGTGCCATTTACGTAGTTCAAAATACATACATTCGTCCATTTATTTGCACCGACAACAGCGATCAAAGGAAGGATTTACTCACGTTTTTAAATTCTGTGAAGACGTGAAGAAATAAACTTCGCGCTGGCAATCACAGCGTCCCGCTATTGGTCATTTCTTGGTAGTTTCTGAGTCAAATCTTGGTATGCATCCGAGCGGTGATTGGCCGCAGCCTCCAGTTCTTGATTGGCCGCGGCAAGCAATTCTTGGTAAATTCTTGGTAGCATTTTGAGCGCTGATTGGCCTCGTTCTCCAATTCTTGGTAGAATCTAGGTAGCGATCCAAGAACTGATTGGCTGTCATTACCAAGATTGAGTTGAGCTAACGGGTGGCGGGGGCAGCGGAATAGGTAGCGCGCCAGTCTCATAATCTGAAGGTTGTGAGTTCAATCCTTACACGGGTATGGATTTTACTTAAACTGGACTGGGCATTGCCAACTCATATCCCACACATGCCTAGAAATTAATGGGACATATCATCCACTTCCAGCTATGAATGTGCTTGTTGATATGGCTCAGGCCACACATGTTAATATTACGCAGCCTGTCCAAAAAAGGCACCACCTGAAATTTAATAAGCAAAATGGTAAGAGCCTGCTATTGGATAATAACTGCAGTGATTCATATTTTTAAGCTGGCTAACGTTATTTTACCCTAACTGATGCATTGATTAGCTTTTCATTTCTGAAAGAACCATGTCGGAAGACATATCCGGTGTTCATTGAGAAGAGGTCACTCTGTTTCAGAAGGGTCAGATTATTGGCCTGCAACAAGCAATGAAAAATAATATGGCAATTGCTGAAATGGTTAAAATTGACATAAGAACTGTCTAATGCATTATTGAAAACTAGAAGGATAGTGGTGCAGCATCATCTTTGAGGAAAAAATGCAGTCAGATAAAAATCTTGACTGATTGTGATCAAAGATCACGTAAACCTTTGGGAAATCAAATGGCAGAAAAACACCAGTAGAACTCATGGCGATGCGTAATAGTGAGAGATTTAGAGTGTTTCTACATTTTTGAATTTATTGACAAATATTATCCTTGGTAATTAATTGGTACAATGTGTTACAAATGATCCTACTCCTTGATAAGGATGGGGATATAGGAATGAGAGTTGACCATCCGCGTTTGGAGCGTCAGGTCCGTCAGGCTTGTATCCGTGCCAGAACTCATATGCCGTTGAATATTTCTGAACAAAATTTCATATGTGGATACATCTTAAAGTGTAGATGTGCCATTGCGTATTTTCATCAGTCCTATATTGTATCTGTCTGACCCTCCACCACGTTTTGTTTCCAGGCCTGGAATCAGTAATCTCGTGGCAGGGGATATGAGTATTTTGTGCATGTTATGGTGCATTGACGGATGACGACATACATGGAAATAGATAATTGTGGCCTCATTAGCGCAGTAGGTAGTGTGTCAGTCTCATAATCTGAAGATTGTGAGTTCAATCCTCACACGCGGCATGGATTTTACTTCAACCGGACTGGGCATTGCCAACTCATATCCCACACATGCCTAGAAATTAATGGGCCATATCATCCAATTCCAGCTATGAATGTGCTCGTTGATATGGCTCATGCCACACATGTTAATATTACGCAGCCTCTCCAAAATCGGCACCACCTGAAATTTAATAAGCAAAATGGTAAGAGCCTTCTATTGGATAATAACTGCAGTGATTGATATTTTTAAGCTGGCTAACGTTATTTCACCCTAACTGATGCATTGATTAGCTTTTCATTTCTGAAAGAACCATGTCGGACGACATATCCGGTGTTCATTGAGAAGAGGTCACTCTGTATCAGAAGGGTCAGATTATTGGCCTGCAACAAGCAATGAAAAATTATACGGCAATTGCTGAAACGGTTAAAATTGACATAAGAACCGTCTAATGCATTATTGAAAACAAGAAGGATAGTGGTGCAGCATCATCTTTGAGGAAAAAATGCGGTTAGATAAAAATCTTGACTGATTGTGATCAAAGATCACGTAAACTTTTGGGAAATCAAATGGCAGAAAAACACCAGTAGAACTCATGGCGATGCGTAATAGTGAGAGTTACAGTGTTTCTACATTTTTGAATTTATTGACAAATATTATCCTTGGTAATTAATTGGTACAATGTGTTACAAATGATCCTACTCCTTGATAAGGATGGGGATATAGGAATGAGAGTTGACCATCCGCGTGTCGGAGCGTCCGTCCGTCAGGCTTGTATCCGTGCCAGAACTCATATGCCGTTGAATATTTCTGAACAAAATTTCATATGTGGATACATCTTAAAGTGTAGATGTGCCATTGCGTACTTTCATCAGTCCTATATTGTATCTGTCTGACCCTCCACCACGTTTTGTTTCCAGGCCTGGTATCAGTCATCCCGTGGCAGGGGATATGAGTATTTTGTGCATGTTATGGTGCATTGACGGATGACAACATACGTGGTAATAGTTAATTTTGGCCAGGATAGCGCAGCAGGTAGCGCATCAGTCTCATAATGTGAAGGTTGTGAGTTCAATCCTCACAAGGGGCATGGATTTTACTTCGACCGGACTGGGCATTGCCAACTCATATCCCACACATGCCTAGAAATTAATGGGCCATATCATCCACTTCCAGCTATGAATGTGCTCGTTGGTATGGCTCATGCCACACATGTTAATATTACGCAGCCTGTCCAGAAAAGGCACCACCTGAAATTTAATAAGCAAAATGGTAAGAGCCTTCTATTGGATAATAACTGCAGTGATTCATATTTTTAAGCTGGCTAACGTTATTTTACCCTAACTGATGCATTGATTAGCTTTTCATTTCTGAAAGAACCATGTCGGAAGACATATCCGGTGTTCATTGAGAAGAGGTCACTCTGTATCAGAAGGGTCAGATTATTGGCCTGCAACAAGCAATGAAAAATAATACGGCAATTGCTGAAACGGTTAAAATTGACATAAGAACTGTCTAATGCATTATTGAAAACTAGAAGGATAGTGGTGCAGCATCATCTTTGAGGAAAAAATGCGGTCAGATAAAAATCTTGACTGATTGTGATCAAAGATCACGTAAACTTTTGGGAAATCAAATGGCAGAAAAACACCAGTGGAACTCATGGCGATGCGTAATAGTGAGAGTTACAGTGTTTCTACATTTTTGAATTCATGGACAAATATTATCCTTGGTAATTAATTGGTACAATGTGTTACAAATGATCATACTCCTTGATAAGGATGGGGATATAGGAATGAGAGTTGACCATCCGCGTGTCGGAGCGTCCGTCCGTCAGGCTTGTATCCGTGCCAGAACTCATATGCCGTTGAATATTTCTGAACAAAATTTCAGATGTGGATACATCTTAAAGTGTAGATGTGCCATTGCGTACTTTCATCAGTCCTATATTGTATCTGTATGACCCTCCACCACGTTTTGTTTCCAGGCCTGGTATCAGTCATCCTGTGGCAGGGGATAGGAGTATTTTGTGCATGTTATGGTGCATTGACGGAGGACGACATACATGGATATAGATCATTTTGGCCTCGTTAGCGCAGTAGGTAGTGCGTCAGTCTCATAATCTGAACGTCGTGAGTTCAATCCTCACACGGGGCATGGATTTTACTTCGACCGGACTGGGCATTGCCAACTCATATCCCACACATGCCTAGAAATTAATGGGCCATATCATCCACTTCCAGCTATGAATGTGCTTGTTGATATGGCTCATGCCACACATGTTAATATTACGCAGCCTGTCCAAAATCGGCACCACCTGAAATTTAATAAGCAAAATGGTAAGAGCCTTCTATTGGATAATAACTGCAGTGATTCATATTTTTAAGCTGGCTAACGTTATTTTACCCTAACTGATGCATTGATTAGCTTTTCATTTCTGAAAGAACCATGTCGGAAGACATATGCCGTGTTCATTGAGAAGAGGTCACTCTGTTTCAGAAGGGTCAGATTATTGGCCTGCAACAAGCAATGAAAAATAATACGGCAATTGCTGAAACGGTTAAAATTGACATAAAAACTGTCTAATGCATTATTGAAAACTAGAAGGATAGTGGTGCAGCATCATCTTTGAGGAAAAAATGCGGTCAGATAAAAATCTTGACTGATTGTGATCAAAGATCACGTAAACTTTTGGGAAATCAAATGGCAGAAAAACACCAGTAGAACTCATGGCGATGCGTATTAGTGAGAGTTACAGTGTTTCTACATTTTTGAATTTATTGACAAATATTATCCTTGGTAATTAATTGGTACAATGTGTTACAAATGATCCTACTCGTTGATAAGGATGGGGATATAGGAATGAGAGTTGACCATCCGCGTGTCGGAGCGTCCGTCCGTCAGGTTTGTATCCGTGCCTGAACTCATATGCCGTTGAATATTTCTGAACAAAATTTCATATGTGGATACATCTTAAAGTGTAGATGTGCCATTGCGTACTTTCATCGGTCCGATATTGTATCTGTCTGACCCTCCACCACGTTTTGTTTCCAGGCCTGGTATCAGTCATCCCGTGGCAGGGGATAGGAATATTTTGTGCATGTAATGGTGCATTGACGGATGACGACATACGTATAAATAGATAATTTTGGCCTCGTTAGCGCAGTAGGTAGCGCGTCAGTCTCATAATCTGAAGGTCGTGAGGTCAATCCTCACACGGGGTATGGATTTTACTTCGACCGGACTGGGCATTACCAACTCATATCCCACACATGCCTAGAAATTAATGGGCCATATCATCCACTTCCAGCTATGAATGTGCTCGTTGGTATGGCTCATGCCACGCATGTTAATATTACGCAGCCTGTCCAAAAAAGGCACCACCTGAAATTTAATACGCAAAATGGTAAGAGCCTTCTATTGGATAATAACTGCAGTGATTCATATTTTTAAGCTGGCTAACGTTATTTTACCCTAACTGATGCATTGATTAGCTTTTCATTTCTGAAAGAACCATGTCGGAAGACATATCCGGTGTTCATTGAGAAGAGGTCACTCTGTATCAGAAGGGTCAGATTATTGGCCTGCAACAAGCAATGAAAAATAATACGGCAATTGCGAAAAACTGTTAAAATTGACATAAGAACTGTCTAATGCATTATTGAAAACTAGAAGGATAGTGGTGCAGCATCATCTTTGAGGAAAAAATGCGGTCAGGTAAAAATCTTGACTGATTGTGATCAAAGATCACGTAAACTTTTGGGAAATCAAATGGCAGAAAAACACCAGTAGAACTCATGGCGATGCGTAATAGTGAGAGTTACAGTGTTTCTACATTTTTGAATGTATTGACAAATATTATCCTTGGTAATTAATTGGTACAATGTGTTACAAATGATCCTACTCCTTGATAAGGATGGGGATATAGGAATGAGAGTTGACCATCCGCGTGTCGGAGCGTCCGTCCGTCAGGCTTGTATCCGTGCCAGAACTCATATGCCGTTGAATATTTCTGAACAAAATTTCATATGTGGATACATCTTAAAGTGTAGATGTGCCATTGCGTACTTTCATCAGTCCTATATTGTATCTGTATGACCCTCCACCACGTTTTGTTTCCAGGCCTGGTATCAGTCATCCCGGGGCAGGGGATAGGAGTATTTTGTGCATGTTATGGTGCATTGACGGATGACGACATACGTGGAAATAGGTAATTTTGGCCTCGTTAGCGCAGTAGGTAGCGCGTCAGTCTCATAATCTGAAGGTCGTGAGTTCAATCCTCACACGTGGCATAGATTTTACTTCGACCGGACTGAGCATTGCCAACTCATATCCCACACATGCCTAGAAATTAATGGGCCATATCATCCACTTCCAGCTATGAATGTGCACGTTGATATGGCTCATGCCACACATGTTAATATTACGCAGCCTGTCCAAAAAAGGCACCACCTGAAATTTAATAAGCAAAATGGTAAGAGCCTTCTATTGGATAATAACTGCAGTGATTCATATTTTTAAGCTGGCTAACGTTATTTTACCCTAACTGATGCATTGATTAGCTTTTCATTTCTGAAAGAACCATGTCGGAAGACATATCCGGTGTTCATTGAGAAGAGGTCACTCTGTATCAGAAGGGTCAGATTATTGGCCTGCAACAAGCAATGAAAAATAATACGGCAATTGCTGAAACGGTTAAAATTGACATAAGAACTGTCTAAAGCATTATTGAAAACTAGAAGGATAGTGGTGCAGCATCATCTTTGAGGAAAAAATGCGGTCAGATAAAAATCTTGACTGATTGTGATCAAAGATCACGTAAACTTTTGGGAAATCAAATGGCAGAAAAACACCAGTAGAACTCATGGCGATGCGTAATAGTGAGAGTTACAGTGTTTCTACATTTTTGAATTTATGGACAAATATTATCCTTGGTAATTAATTGGTACAATGTGTTACAAATGATCCTACTCCTTGATAAGGATGGGGATATAGGAATGAGAGTTGACCATCCCGTGTCGGAGCTTCCGTCCATCAGTCTTGTATCCGTGCCAGAACTCATACGCCGTTGAATATTTCTGAACAAAATTTCATATGTGGATACATCTTAAAGTGTAGATGTGCCATTGCGTACTTTCATCAGTCCTATATTGTATCTGTCTGACCCTCCACCACGTTTTATTTCCAGGCCTGGTATCAGTCATCCCGTGGCAGGGGATATGAGTATTTTGTGCATGTAATGGTGCATTGACAGATGACGACATACGTATAAATAGATAATTTTGGCCTCGTTAGCGCAGTAGGTAGCGCGTCAGTCTCATAATCTGAAGGTCGTGAGGTCAATCCTCACACGGGGCATGGATTTTACTTCGATCCGACTGGGCATTGCCAACTCATATCCCACACATGCCTAGAAATTAATGGGCCATATCATGCACTTCCAGCTATGAATGTGCTCGTTGATATGGCTCATGCCACACATGTTAATATTACGCAGCCTGTCCAAAAAAGGCACCACCTGAAATTTAATAGCAAAATGGTAAGAGCCTTCTATTGGATAATAACTGCAGTGATTCATATTTTTTAAGCTGGCTAACGTTATTTTACCTAACTGATGCATTGATTAGCTTTTCATTTCTGAAAGAACCATGTCGGAAGACATATCCGGTGTTCATTGAGAAGAGGTCACTCTGTGCATCAGAAGGGTCAGATTATTGGCCTGCAACAAGCCCACGGGGGGGGGGGGGGGGGGGGGGGGGGGGGGGGGGGGGGGGGGGGGGGGGGGGGGGGGGGGGAAAAAAAAAAAAAAAAAAAAAAAAAAAAAAAAAAAAAAAAAAAAAAAAAAAAAAAAAAAAAAAAAAAAAAAAAAAAAAAAAAAAAAAAAAAAAAAAAAAAAAAAAAAAAAAAAAAAAAAAAAAAAAAAAAAAAAATGTTTCTAAAGAAGCAAAATTTTTAATTTTGGGGAAAAAAAACCCTTTTTTGGGAAGGATTAGGGGGGGGGGTGCAGGGGGTTTTTAAAACTTTTGAAAAAAAAAAGGAAAAAAAAATTTTCGGTTTTAGAATTTTTTTAAAATTTTTCCCTTTTGGGGA